ATTTTTACGTGAATTATATCACACCGCATAATCTCCATGCCTCAATGTGTTACGCAGCACGGTTCACGCTATTGATCCCGTTCGATCATGGGAATGAACTACAAGATACGTCACATCCATCAAAGACAGCAGGCACGGTTCCTAACTCATTTTTGCTAAACTTGTCAGTTAAGCGGTTTGTTCTTTCGCCCTCGATATCGGTCGTACTATTCGGTGCATGCATCCGAGGTTTCACACCTAACCGAACTACAAAATTAAAACTTGACATGATGGCATGAACCAGTGATGCGGTTGCTAGAACCGAGAATACGGTTACTTGAACCGAACAATACGTCCCCGTCCGTAAGTGCAACATCGTACTTGGTTACGGGTTATTTAACCGGAATTTTTCCCCAGTGCGCAAAGACTCATGTTCTACGATTTGAAGTTCAATTTTTGTGCCCGACATTTGTGTCGCTTGAACCGGAAGAGATATAGTTGATGCTTTTCAGCCCATGACAAGATGTACAATAATAAAACAATTTAAAAAAGCGGGTAACTCGGCTAATTTACACGTATAAAATCAAAACATTTCGGCAACACTCAGCTTCCTCAGTTGAATAAAGTAGTAAAAAGAATTTTATCCATTTTACTTTTTCATTTATATTATATTTATATTTACTATTTTATTCAATTGAGAAAGGCTGGGTTTTTGGTTTTATTCGTGTAAATTAGCCTTGTTACGCATTTTTTTAATCGTTTTGTAATTGAACAGGAAGATCTAGTGGTGTTGCACACAAACCGCATCGGAAAGCGGTAACCTTGTGACCTAAGTTTCTCTCCTTGTGCACTTAAAAAAATAATTTAAAAAAAAAGAGCTTCGGATAAATAAGCTAATCGGATTTATTTCGACACCATGTCACCATTCCAATCCATCGTTGGCCGATTATCGATGAGTTTCAGTCGGTGGCTGTCTATATGTTTGTGGCGTAAGAGTGGGCGTCCGGCTTCCGAACCAGTTTAGGACAAATCGGACAGATGTGCGGACAAGTGCACCTCTAATTGCCAAATTGCTCGTTAATCGCCAGAGCTAATTTTGTCCAGTGGCGTGACGTGCTTTGCGATATATCGACTGATCTGGCATCTAAACTTATGGAAAAGGATCGATAAACAGGGTGTTCGCAACGAACACCTCAATAATCGATTCTTTACCATACCATCTAATATAGGAATATCGAAAATTGATCATTCATGCCTCGCCACTGATTTTGTCAACTTTTTTGAATAGTCCTATTTACAGTCCTATATACACACGGTTTTATTCAAGGTTATAGTAGTACAATTGAGATTCGATTTTTCATTATGACCAGAATAAGCCGTATCCAAATGTTATGCTTTCGAACCAAACATCGGATTTTGTGACCGTTTCAAAATTACTCGAAGTCGTACTCGTATGGTCTAAGAAATGATTTCTTGGAGATTGCCATTTTTTAAAAATTTTGAGGAAAATTTCGAAGGAAAAACGAACTACATTTTATAATGAGGAACTCCTATTTCTGGCTCCTCCACAACAGTCTCTATCTGCATAGGAAAACTGTTAGGACACATATTGTTAATAATCTAGTTCAAATACTATTCTCTCCATATTTTCAATATTTGGACTACATTTTGCAATCGGGAACTAAAATTTCTAGTTCGTTTCAGCAACAACTTATGTGCCATTAGTTTCCCTTTAAAGATAGGTGTTATCATGTATGAGTCAGAAATCGTAGTTCCTTACTGCGAAATGCAGTCCATTTATTATATCTGATATATTTTTCTATATTACTTTCTACCAATCATTGGGGCATGGTGATCTTCTAGAGTACATCCTGATACTTTTCCATCCGATAAGTTTTCTTTCGGTAGAGAGAGCCTCCCAAACACTGAGAGTTTGAAGAAGAGAGACACAGGAGGTGTAAAAAGCCCTACCTTTAAATATTCATTCCTTGAATGTTGACATCGAAATACATAAGCGAATCAGCTCTCAATTTTCTTTGATGTCTTGTCTTCGTGTCTATTTTTGCCGGTGCTGTCAGCTTCCTTGAGACGCTACTAAATAATGGAAAATAAGTATGAAGCGTAAACTGAAAACTTATGAAACGTAAGTACCTCCTATAGATGCATATCGTAGCTTCAACCTGCGCGGAATTTGCAATGGAGGAACATCCATATTTTCTCGCCTTTAATTTGAAAACAAGTCTGCTGCACGCAAGAGATACGGCTAGCTGAGTAAATGATTTACCAGCTACATTGCCCACAGAACATGTCGATCGCATCAGGAAAATTGAGATTTGAAGTGTTTTCCGCGAAATTTTACATTAGTATCAGTGCTTCAATCGCAAATTCCTGACACATGCAAGGGCTCCACTAAGGCAGCATTACGACCGCCGGCACACCAAAAAAAAAAAGAATTGATAGGCAATGTGGCAGATCCTTTTGATAGAGATTGTTTTACATATACACGTAGTGTGTGATGCGGTCATTACACCTTTTGGTGATAGATTGAGAGTCTTTAATTTTACGGATGACCGACGAAAAATGGAAGGAGGAAAGGCTTCATCGCGATGAGCCGCCCGGCCGAGCCCCAGAATCCGATTTCACATCCTTCAGCTGCGGAATCTACTGGGTGGACTCTCTTGAGTAATGCTTGTGCCAAATTTTCAAGATGAGCGTTTGGTCATTGTCATGGTTATTTATTATATTCGGAGTTGTCAAGTTTGTTGATGAACCACCATACAGGCTGTGAAATTCCGCACCACAGTACATGTTCTCCTGATGAAATGTTACGTAGAATACTGTGGGCGCATCCGAAATTTCCAACCTCAATCTATTTACTGACTCATTCATCCCCCCCCCCCCATGCTCCCTCTACGATTCACACCTCTCAGAATCGGTGTAAACCTCGCCGTTCGACGGTTCCGGTGCCAGAAGTCATCGCACACGATCACACCGTGCCATCAATATATCAAAGTCAGGTGATCTGATTGGTCCAGGTCATCGTATAAGCCAGTCACAACACATGACCCTGATATTTTGATAGCTAGGTTTGATTGTGTGACATTGGCTATAGGGGTGTGATATGCGGACTATCCGCTATCCGCGCGTCTTTTCGCGGGGTCAAGGGGGGGGGGGGGTCGGGGACTTACAATCGAAATTTCTCATAATGGATTTCACTGTGATACGAAAGTTGAAGATATTACACGCTGCCGTGCTAAGGAAGAACGCCGTATGAACATCCAAGAGTTGCCAAATTCTCCCTGATAAAACATGTATTTTTGACAACATTCATGCATATTTTTTCTTGAAATTTTCAAATATTTTAGATCAAATTGCGTACAAAATTGTTCTAAATTTTTGGAAAATAATATTCGCAATTTTTCCAGTAAATTCAGTTTTATCTGAGGCAACTTGACAACGTCTGAAGGCTCATACTGCGTTCTTCTTTAGCACGACAGTACGGACAAATCATCGAGGAACGGACAGTATTTCGGCAGCAACTCCGGTCAGTCGGACACAGGTGTGCCGGTGCGACGGAGGAAGATCCGAAAACGGCGACTCGCGATGACGTCACGGTTAATCCGGCCTGAGCCGAAACCCGAAATCCACGAGGCCAGGCGCTCGGGAGGTTCCGGCCGTCTCCGGCGCCCGGCTTCGCGCCGCGGATTCGCGGCCTCAGCCCGCGAGACGCGAGTTCTCGCGCTGGCGTCACGCGGGTCGCGCCATCTCCCACTCGGCCCACGCGGTCCCTCGGCGTTTCCGAAAAATTCGCGATCCGTTCCCGCCTCGTGTCGCCAATTATCCAAATTCGCGCTCCAAAAATTCCGGTCGGCCGTCTTGTTCAATCGCCATCTGAAAAAGCGGCTGTCATCGGTGTCATTTACCGCAGCGCTCGCGTTTGTATATAACCTCCTTTCGCGTTTTGAAAATTGTGCGGAATCGCCCGGAAACCACCGACTGTCTTCCCCGAACGTTACTCGAAATAGTGGATTGTCTTTAGTGTCGTATTCATCGAGCTTCTTCGTTTATAATCCCTATTTGCATCCCTAAAAAATCCCTAAAAAAGCGCTCGAGTTTGTTTATAACCTCCCTTCGCGTTTTGAAAATTGTGCGAAATCGCCCGGAAACCACCGACTGTCTTCCCTGAACGTTACTCGAAATAGAGGATTGTCTTTAGTGTCGTTTTCATCGAGCCTCTTCGTTTATAATCCCTATTTGCGTTCCTAAAAAATCGCAAAATATCCTCTTTAACAGCCGACCGTTCACCTAGAGCGTTATATAAAATTTTGGATTATTACCAGTGTAGTTCGAACCGAGTTCTTTTTTAGTGTTAACCTTCCTTGGCAAATTCCGGAAAATTTGTCAAACTTTTCGCTTTTTGTAGGTCGCTTGCTTCCCTCGAATTCTATCTAAAATAGTGCTTGTTAGTAGTGTTGTTCGCACTGATTTAGCATTTTTGCCGGTAATCTCTTACAAATCACTCTCTAAGTCAGCTACGTAATAAGATACGCGCCTTTTAACTCGAGCATCGGTATTAAAAATAGTGTTTTCAGTCATATCTGTGTGTGTTACGCTCGCATTCCTAGCCCGTTGTGCGATTTCTTTCATTTGAAAAATGGGAAAAGCAAATTTTTAGAAACTTTCGTCCTGCTTATTTGTATACATTATACTATCGTGTATTCCCCCGCGTAAAGATATGCTGCATCTTTAATTTCGTCTAGCGTGTTTGTGCAATACACTGCGTCAACTATTTGCTCCATTTTCTAGCTTACCGATGCCTTAATTGTCTTCCCAAACGTTCGTACAAACTGTTTTTTTCACAGATTTTCTCATATATCGTTCACCGTTTTTTTTTTTTTTTTTTTTTTTTTTTTTTTTTTTTTTTTTTTTTTTT